GAAACAGGACACTGCTTGGATGGCTTACAAAAGTGGTCAACCAGAATACCAAGATATTTTTCTTTCATAATGCTGTTAAGGTTATTCCCATCAAAACTAAACTTATAATTCAAATTATGATAATTCATGTGCATTATCTGCATTAATTATAATTAAAGGACATCTGTCATTTATTCATCCAACTCGCCAAATAACCTAAATGCTTTTGTAAAGCAAAAGCATCATTATCACAATTAACAACACCTAAGATCTTAATATCATCAGCAAACTTAAGTAATTTAATGACCATTCCTTCACCCATATTATTTATGGAAATCAAAAACAGAGCAAAGGTTCTAAGATTTAGCCCTGATAATATGTGATTAATCCAATTTGAAAGTAATTATTGTTGGAAATTATAAATAAAATTAATTCATCAATTTTGCACCACTAAATGTTAAAGGATCCTTGTATATAATTTATTCTTGTACTACTTACAATCTTAAGTGTGTATTAACCTTAATGAATCCTTGTACAAATGACTTATTCATGTACTATTTACAGTCCTAAGTGTTTATTAAAGGATCCTTGTACAGAGGATTTACTTATGTACTACTTACAGCCTTGAGTGTGTGTCAGAGGATCCTTGTATAAATGATTTATTCTTCCCGTGTTAAAGGAACTGGATCGTCTTATTACACCATGAACTTCATATCCTTTATCAATAAGGAGTTCTGCAAGATAGGATCCATCCTACAAGAAAAAGAAAACTGAATTTAACATACTTTAGAAAACTTTATAGCATTAAAACTACACACTACTACTCATACATCCTTTTCCCATTGTTTTATAGCAGTTAGTCAACAGGGGTAAATAATTAAGTTGTTACCAACAATCACAAATAACCAACAAAATCAACCAAGTTCAAAACTATTTTCAACATATCTGAATATTTTTCATACATTAATCTTCAAAATAGAGTATTGTCATAAATTTCCTCAAAGAAATTTTTATAATCAAATTGGAAGTTCCATTTTATTTGGGATTAAGTTTGGTAGACCATAAGAGCCTATCTGATCTAAAAATGTTTCAATAGAAATTAATGTTATAGTATTTTGGCACTTGTGTATAAAGTTAAAATCATAAATATTATTCAACGTTAAACTGGTACACAATTAAAAACATTTTATTTAGGCCTATCTGTGGCCTTCAAAAATTGACGACTGTTTAACGTTGAATAATATTTATGATTTTAGAAATTACTGAGTTTAAATAAGATTTTTTAACCATAAAAACACTATTTATACACATTAATGACATACATATTAATCAATATTGTACTTGTAGTATATAAATAAGCAACGTGTTTCTATCTCTGTGTATTATTCTAAATTTATCAGTTATTTCTAAGTATTATCAATTTGTACATAACACGTGGTCAAGTAAGTCTTTAAGCTGATTTTGTTTTACTGTTTCTGTTTCTTTGTTTTCTTGGAAGATAACACCTTTTTGCTGGTGGGTATGGCTGTACTGTACATTGTGCAAGATCTTAGATGGCTGTGCTATACATTGACACTTCATGTGATAACTCAAGGTTATAATTTCCCTTATGTTTCAAAAAGATTTGCCAACACAGTTGATGCACGCATCCTTAGATAGTGTTATAAAACTTGGTATAAAACACTATGATCTATTAGTTATCTTTTTCTCTCAAGCTCAAATCTGTTTATTCAGTGAAGTTTAAGTTCTTTCTTTGTATATAAAAATATGTTCTTAAAGTTTAACCTGTAAAATTAACTAATTCTTATTAAACATCTTTATAAGTTGTTAAAGAAAATTTAGAGACAGCTATAAACTACATAATATAATAAAGCAAAGATGCTGTTCTTCATCGTATGCTTACGTTATTTTGATCGTTTTCGTCAGTCTGAATAAAGACTGATTCAATTTCATTGTTTTTGTAGATTTTGTTCAGTTTTTCAAATTCAGACAGTCACAGAATTCAGTATTATTATATAATAAATAAATTGTTGAACTTTCTGTGATTAAGCAGACCTATTCCATTCCTTTAAGGTTTAATCACTAAATCAGTTTAACTTTTATCTGAATATACCGCATTATTACTACTATTACTATTAGCTAACTTAGGAACTAGTAATAATAACTATCAACATCACCGTGACTGTATATCCGGTGACGACTGCGTTAATAGCAGTGTACTTATCAATTAAAGCTATAATTAGTGATAAAATAACTATTAATTCATTATACTTGATTGATACAATTATAATACAAGGCTACTTGTTCATTTTTGCTCTACATTAAATTTAATATTATATTAATTATTATTAACTTACCTGTCCTGTAATGCCTGTGATTAAGGCCACTTTCCGGCTTTTATTCACATTATCATCCATTGTAACCTATAAAATTTAAATCAGTTTTTACTCTGAAGTTTAAAATAAAATGCAAAAACTAACGAATTATGTCATTAACTATCAAAATGGAGACTGGGAAATTACCTAACTGAAATATACAAAAGCCGGTGAAATATTAATAACAAAACGTCACCTCCGTTTCAATCACAGCGCTAATGCCATCTATAAACTATATAAACGATTAAATAAACTTGAAAATAATATTATTAATAGCATTTGAAAGCATATGTCGTTATGAAGAAAAATCACAATGGTTCAAAAATCAGAAATAAAATTCTGTTACATATTTTAAATTTAATCATCTAATACTTATTTTATCAATCTGAAATTTGAGAAAATGTACTAAATGTGAACCTTTTGGCCCTTTTCTATGGTCAAGATCTTAAACTGTTAATATTATCTCAGCTCTCTTTAGTTTAATCCATGAAGAGTGGTTTATATAGTTATATATCAATACTAGTGAATACTTAAGTATATAACTCTATAACTATACGTGCTAATTTTATATCTTCACTGAATATCCAGTCACACTTTTTTGTGCTAGCAAAGACGATGTTCTTTAACTTTGTTTTTGTAGAATTTTCGCGAAAAGCTACTAGAGGGCTATCCACACTAGCTAACATCCCTAATTTTGAAGTGATAGTCTAAAGGGAAAGTAGCTAGTTAACATCACCCACCATAAACTCTTGAGTTACTCTTTGCCAATGAATAAGGAGAATGACCGTAACAAAATAACGTCCCTACAACTGGAAGGGCGAGAATGTTCGATAATGGGATTCGATCCTGTAGCCTGCTGATTATGGGTGGGGAATCCTGAACATCAGAACATGCCAGGCCTACCAAAAAACCATTAGTGGAAATATTATTATTATTTAAATTCATAGGTGCTTTCCTTAAATTCCATCTTCAACGTTAAAATCTCAAAAAACCAGCATTATCTATTGAGGAAGTTTAAATCTATTATTTTTAAACTTCCGATTGAATACGAAAACTTGCTCAATAACTAATGTTTTTTGTAGTTTGAATATTATGAATTAACTTTTTTTGAGATTTTAACGCTGAAGATGGAACTTAAGGAAATTCCGAGACGTCCGTAATTAAATATGTTTTTTTTGTATTACCGTGTTTTTAATATTTATTATTGTTACTCTGCTTGTTTGATAATTTTCCGTAAAAATTCTTCCCGAGGAACTTCAGCGATACAAGTACTTTCTTAAATAAAACTAGTTTATTCTTCCTCAATACAACTTTGCAATACACAGAATTTCCACAGTCACTTTAACTTAGCACACTCTATAATTCACAACGATTTACACACTTTACTTATGGCTAGACTCGATTATCTCCGTTATCAATTTATCTGCCGGCATATATACTAAAAATGAGGGCGTCTATCAAACGCTCGGACATTCCTGAGGTTCCCCGATCCTTCTAGAATCTCATCACGTGTTACAAGCGTCACGTGACTTCCGCTGTCGTAACACTGCCCCTTCTTTAGTATTGTTCATGCCGAACAATAGCCACTTACATTAAACCAATAGATAATTAACAATAACTAAAGTAAATGTACAGAATTTACAAACACAAAATTAAAATTCAACAAAGTTTCTTAATTTTTCGGGACGTATCTTCTTCCGTACTGGTCTCCGTCTCGTTGGCTTCTGCTTCACGTGGGGTTCATCTCCTCCATCAGGAATTGTCCTATTATTGGTAACAGTCACATCAGTTGTAGTAACTTCGTTAAGGGCTTCACTGTTTCGCTTCTCAAAACCGGGTAGGGTTTCTTCTTCGACAGTGGTTTTTTTCAGGTGACACGTCTACACCAGCGTCATTTGTTCCATTGTTCACTTCGCTCCAACTGAAATGTCCTGGACCATGATAACGCCAAAGCCTGTTGGCATGCACCACCTTTGGCTTACCTCGCCGATCACATTTTATTCGGAAAGGCACGTCTGAGAGACGATCACTATGTCATATGGGCCTTCCCATGGAGAAGACAACTTAGGAGACTTCCCTTTGGTCTTTCTTGGATTATACAACCATACCTTGTCTCCTGGTACAAAGCAGACTTCAGTAAATCTCTTATCATAACATAACTTCATGGAGTCAGCAGACGTTTTCAAGATTGAACGCACTTGATGTTGAATATCATCCATCCTTTCGGATAACACTTTCACGAACTCTAGCACATTTTCAGACAACTCTTTGTAAGATGGGTGTCCTTTTATCAGATCCAGTGGCAACTGAAGTTCCCGACCAAACATCCACTTTGCTGGAGTGTATCCAGTGGCTTCATGCTCTGCTGTTCTATAGGCCATCAACAGTGGAGGGAGTAAGACATCCCAGTCATCTTGGCGGCTATTACAAAACTTTACCAATTCCTGTCCCAGTGTCCAGTTGTACTTTTCTACCATCCCATCTAACTGTGGGTGAAGTGGCGTTGTTCTGGTCTTTCGAATACCAAACAACTTGCAGCATTCATGGAACACAACTGATTCAAAGTTACAGCCTTGATCCGAATGCAGTTCGTATGGCATACCAAATCTGAATAAGAAATCACTAATAGCCGAAGCTACAGTTGTAGCTTTC